GAGGAGGAGGAGGAGGAGGAGGAGGAGGAGGAGGAAACTCAGCGGAGACCAATAGATAGGGCAGACAAAGAGGACAAGATAAGTGAGTTTCAAAGCGAAATATTGAATATTTTGAAACGTTAATGGAACTTAATCATTAAATGAAAATCAATGCAGATCAAGATGACAAGTTGAAGCTGAGGAATAAAGAGAATATCAACGCAAACGCTGACAACGAGGCTGAGGATGTAAAATGGGCAACAACAAATAATTCACAATGTGGTGTACATGGCTAAGGGTAAAATGCATTTAAAAACTAACGATTTTAATTCTTACTACTTTTATTGAACTTGGTAGTTTGATAAAGCAAACGATAAATAATTGGAGAAGAGTGCAATTTTCATCACGTTATACGTGTACATGTGTAATAAGTTACACAGACGGAGATGCGACCACTCACAAATAGGGTGCGCGTTTGTTCTTTAACAGGATCTGTTAACGAAGCAGTATAGAGAAAACGGTTTCCCGATTTGTTGAGTAAGCAACGTTTCACTGTGAATCAGTCACGAGACTTTCGAACTTACTGTGATCCGCTGTTTCGAGTGTAGCTACAGCAGAAGTAGCAATGATTCAAATTTTTTATTATATGTAAAACATCTTTGCGGACAATGTAGATAGATAATGCGACAGATTCTTCGAGTATCTCCTAATTTCTATTTTAGATAACTTCAGTAAATTTAGTCATTTGCGTAATTGAAAACAAACGCATTTGCATACCAACGATTTGCAATTGAATAATGCGAAAATGAAAATTTATATTATTCGGTGATAATACGCACTTTACAAACTATCGCAACAATTCTTGAACAAGCAACTAAAAATCTATAGTAAACGAATTCCGAAAGAATGGAAAAAGAAATCAGTTATGCAGAGATATACGAATTTCAAAGAAGAAAGAGATGAGAAAATTCTTATAAGATCCTAAATTGTACGAACATGATTCAAAAAGAAGCAAAATCTATCCATGACTTGTTCCCGATAAAAACAAAGTGTATTCTCTTTTCTTCGAATACTGCATATAATATTTAATGATCTCTTTCTCTCTCTCTCTCTCTCTCTCTTTGGTTTTTTTATTCTTCATGTTCATTTTTCTCGCATACTAGTGGTTGCAAGTCTGGGAAGCAATACGTAACGAAAAGAATTTGATTCGTTTGCATGATTTGTAATTGTTTTGCCGAGGCAAGAAGTTGACTCTAGGTATTTTGAATGTTGTGCAATCGTAGAAAGATAAAAAGGACCCAGTGTATTACGTAGTGTATTCTCGTGAAAGAAATAAGGTGTACCGCGAGTCAGGTCATTTCGATGAAACAGAAATCTAAGATGTAGGTATAATCGTAAGAAACGAATTCTGTTTAATTTAGGATACTTTCTGAATGTTTATATGTACACGCGCCACATGTATAAAGTTAATTTTTGTACAAAGTATTTAAGGGTTCAAGGGAAAGTATAATGACAAACGGTGGCGAACCCTTCTCTTAGCAAAAAAGAGACGTAGGGAAGAAAAATTCCAAGGTAAATTAGTACTACTTACTTCTATTTTAACGCTTCTTTTATTTACTTTTACTTCACTTTTATGATTTACAGTACTATACAATACGCTATTATCGTTAGTCCTGTCGTTGTTACATCTACTACTACGGAATTAACTATCTTTAGTAATTATTTATGTTTTGTAAATTATTATGTCAGTTAAAAGAATGGAAAGCATGATGTCGTGCGTACGCGATTAAGAACTATGTATTTTAAAATACTTGATTTGATAACGCGTACAAAAATGCAAACAAAAAGTATTAATTACGTCACAAGACTTGTAGAAAAAAGTATATCGATACGTTCGGAGCAAGTTTGAACGAACGGACGAAAAATCGTGTATGCTTGCCTGCGTGCGTGTGTATGTGTGACTGTGAAACATTTTCAAAAATATTATAAGAAGGTGCTCTCCGTATATTGTAAAATTTTAATACAGAGAGGCTAGACGAAGATATAGGCAGTGGAGACTGAGTGAGTGAGCGAGTAATTGAACGAGTAATACATGGATCACAGCGACGATGACGGGGAAGACGAACAAAGTCTAGATATGTAGCGTTAAGTTTTAGGGATAGATTTTTCGATACCCGCATGCAGAATTAATCGCAATGAATTCGCATTGAATATGTTTAGATTTATTAGGTTTCGACTTCTTTTTTATTGGAGCACGGGCGAATGTACAAAGCAATGTTAAATAGCTTGGCATTGCGTGTTATTTTTATATAAACGGGGTTGGAGGGAGGGGGAAGAGAGAGAGCGGGAGGGAGGGCGTGAAAGGCTGGAAGGATGGGGGTGGGTAGAATAGTAAAACATACAGAATTACATGAGGAAAATCGAAATAATACGCGATGATCTTCGAGAGACCGTGCACAATGAATGTAAATTGGTCGTGCTATAACCGAAGAACTGGTGGACCGCCTCGAAGTCCGTGTATTTGTAAGGAACGTAACGGTTTTGTGAAAATTTATTACAATTGCCACAGAGAAGATAATCGTTTACTAAACTTTGCGCGTAAAGTTTACAATCACCTGCGAATGCCGATATGTATGACATATACCATGTATGTACGTATAGATGTATCTACACATATGATATGAGAGTAGCAGTAGCGTGAATGCGAGCGTGTGTATGTGTGTGTCGATGATGTGTAGCAAAAGGGAAATGAGATTACTAGAACACGAACTCAAGATTTGTTAAATATACTTCCAACACGTGGCATGAAGCTTTATTTTTTATTAGCGAGCCATATAAAGAAAGTTATATAGAAGTAGTTTGAAAATTGAACTTTTTATAAACGTCCCGAGCGATTAAAGAAGTGGAGGGGAAGAGAGAGAGAGAGCAAAGTAGATCGATTTCTCAAGAGTGTAGTTACTTTTATAAGATTTATAAGATTTATCTTTTGCTATGTACAAATAGCTTTATTTATCGTTGTTTTGCAAATCAGTACGCAAGGAGCACCAATTTGGTATTACCTTTTGAAGCCTCCAGTTTGTTTTTATTTATTTAAAATACACACAAATAAATAATCATAGGTAGATAGGTAGGTAAGTAATTAAGCAAGCAAGTAAGTAGATAGATTGGAGATAGATAGGTAAGTTAAATATGTATGCAGGTAGGCAAGTAGATAGGTAGATAGATAGATAGATAGATAAATAGATAGATAGATAGATAGATAGATAGATAGATAGATAGATAGATAGATAGATAGATAGATAGATAGATAGATAGATAGATAGATAGATAGATAGATAGATAGATAGATAGATAGATAGATAGATAGATAGATAGATAGATAGATAGATAGATAGATAGATAGATAGATAGATAGATAGGTGAGCAGGCAGACAGACAGAGATATAAGTAATGAAAACATAAGATACATAACACTATACGTATATTACACGCGCGGCATGCATACATTCTGCATGCACGCAGAAATACATTGAATGCACAAACGGTGTGTATGCGCGAATACACGTGAAATGTGTATAGAAGGTTGATTTTAATAACCTTGGAAACCTTATCCCTCTCTCTCTGTTCATCGACTAGCGGCACGCAGTTGTGTTGTATTTTTCTCGAGTAAACGATATCAGTCGTGTGATTTGTTTTACCTTTCATGATGTATCGTTAATTCCACTATATTTTACACTTAAGCATTTATTTACCTTTCGGCTACTTAAAGGAAACAAATAAATACACGTGTATAACGATATTCAAGTACGTCGCGCGCAGTCGATTCAGAGAGAAACACATCGCAAAGATTTGACAATCATGCACACTTTCTTTTTTTTTTCCACGTACTGACTTTTTGTATAAATATGTCACATGTAAATATTTATTATTTTTACTGTATAATGAGAACCACGAGCTTTGGTCGTATCGGCTAAACAGCGAATTCCGCAATAATCCGCATCGTTGCATCGAGCGTCGAGATTAACCCTTTAATCTACAACAACGTGTCAGACTCGTGGCAGAGATTCTGGTGAAGATGTGACAAAAATAGTTATATTAATAAGAAAAATTAATTGTAATCCTAACTTTCGTTTTAACTTGTAAGATTAAGGATTCCTAAACGTAATTAATCTGTAACAGATTAGCTTTTGTTACCTGATACAATACTAAAATATTAAATGGCTGACGCTTAGATGCATAGTCAGAGAAGAAATCATAGGTTAAGGGGTTAACGCAGCTACTACGGTCAGTACACAAGCCTCTATCACTAGCAACGTTATTAATACCACCACTACTTATTAGTATTTGCATTTATTCTGTTTATTCGTTGAGCAAACAGTGCCGAACAATTTTGTCCGAGGATTATTCATCGTTTAGTCGGTACGAAAGAACGCGAGGTGCAAAAGCTCTGAATTTTTTATAATTTGTTATTTAATATAATGAATGTTATAGAAATGTTCTCTATATTTCAAACGTTATAAGTTTTCTGTTTCTTTGGTATTATTAATGTGTAAGCTTATTTCTTAAATTAAACATTTTTCTATGGAAACGACTCCTTGATCTTTTTCTGCGATATTTCGATACCCTCCTGCAAATTGTCGTTGTTCTTGTCATCACTATTATCAGCGTCAGTATCATTTATATTTATACGTAAAACGGAGTAACATGAAATTTAGTTGTGAAACGGACTCCCATGCTGGATAAATCGGCGGAGGGGGAATGGCGAAAATCAAATCTCGAGGAACATTTCCACCATGATGTACAATCTTCAGAGTTGACTCCTTTCCTTTCGATTGTAGAGCGTTGAACGTACAAGAAAAAGAATCGAGATTTGTAGATCACTGCTGATCGAAAATTGAAAAGTGGCAAATACATGGCAAACAGCAGGCGAAAGGT